CAAGAGACCATCCAGACAGAAACCCAATATCTTTTACTGTTGCCTTTTTGTTACATTTGTTATATTTGTGCTGATAAATAAATAAAGGGAGACTACTATAGATCTATTTCAAGCTATATATATATATATTACGTTTAAAACAGTGCAGCACCGCAAACAGTGTAATACAATCACATTATATGCAGATAATCTCATCCAATAACTGTCAGCCTACTTAATACATTATCTATTCTTCTATCCAATCACATTATTTACGGTTTGTTCCAGTCTTGTCACCTTGTCTTATACCAATAATAAAATCTGTCCCAAACTTTATAATATTCTGACTCCCCTTTATTCTTTAGTTCAAGGGTGAGACTATCTACTTCCTCACAGGCCAAAATTCTATTCTATTTTGTATCTTAAAATAAGATACAAAATAAGGCTTATAAGATAATTTTATCTTATAAGCCAATAAAAAAAAAGTATACGGAAAATATCCATGCTGAGGCATGAGCCTAAGAAGCCATATTTGACCTTCACAACTTACCGATAGTTTTGGGAGTAACTTTCCAGGAGAAGGTTTTCCTTCCATCCACAGGCAGACAGTGGGGACCCTGCTCCTTGTCCAGAGGGGTAGCAATGTAGTCGGGAGAAAGCAGTAGCGATACGCCAACCTGTTGACCAGAAAGGAGTTAGATGGAGAAGATCACCATGGCCTCACAGGTACACGGCACAAGGAGGAAGAGTTAACTCTGAGCAAGGCCGAGAACTGTAGTTCAACAATATCAGTTCTAGGTTGCACGAACACAGGGGTAGAATCAAGGTCATGAAAAGGGTTATTACCACTTAATAAGGTCATACTTAGAAGGGTGGCTCAGTGGCTCAGTGACGCTTAGCTTGTGGATCAGAAGGTTGGGAGTTCGGCGGTTTGAACCCTAATGCCACCTAATGGAGTGAGGTCCCATTACTTGACCCAGCTTCTGCCAACCTAGCAGTTTGAAAGTGTGTAAAAATGCAAGTAGAAAAATAGGGACCTCCTTGGTGGGAAGGTAAAAAAAAAAGCATTCCGTGAGCTTTCGGCATTTAGTCATGCCGGCCACATGATCACAGAGACATCTTCAGATGGTGCTGGCTCTTTGGCTTTGAAATGGAGATGAGCATCACCCCCAAGAGTCAGGAATGACTAGCACGTACGTGCGAGGGGTACCTTTACCCTTTTAAGACTACACTTAGAATGCAGTACTACCAACCAGTTTTCTCAAAGGTGCTTTTTCAGGAAGCAATTGGACTTTCTCAGTTTTGGGGGGGTTTTTTTGAAGACGTTTTGCTTCTCATCCAAGAAAGCTTCTTCCGCTCTGAAAGGATACTGGAAGAAGAAGCTGACCGAATGAAGCTTCTTGGATGGGAAGCAAAACTTCTTCAAAGAAAAAAAAACCTGGTCAGTCCCGTCTCTGACCAATGCATTACAAAATATTTGCAGATGCATTTACTCCGTTTTTAGCCATGTGTGTGTGTGTGAGCATGGACGCTTTCTAAAGTCTATGGTCTGGAAGATGAATTCTACAACGCATCAAAATCAGGCTTTTATCATTTCCCTTCTGTACTTTTTGAAATTAGCATTTTGAAAGCATCTCACATCACCTAATCTCCCAATCAGAAGGTGAGCTATAAAGAGGAAGGGAGATGCTCAGAGGTGGGATTTAGCCAGTTTGTACCGGTTTGGGCAAACCAGGTGTTCATTTTGCATCTGGGTATACTGAACCCTTGTTGCAAGGACTGGGTTGCCCCACCCACCCCTCTCCTCCCGGGAGTCTCCACGTGGCCCGTTTTGGATGCTGGGGAAGTGCAGGGCCCGCGCAGAGGCTCTTGGAGGGCAAGAAATGACCCTCCTGAAAATTCCGGAAGTCTCGAAATGGGTCCGTTTATGGCCTCCAAAGGGCCTCTGGAGCAGGCCATTTTCGCCCTCCTGGAGGCTCCCAAAGTCTTGGGAGTGTGAAAACACCCTCCCTGCCCCCTGCCGTGGTACAGGAGACTGAGTAGGCCACGCCCACCATGGCCACGCCCGCCTCACAACTGGGTAGAGAACCGGTTGCTAAAACTTTTGAATCCCACCCCTAGATGGAAGGGCTCCTCACCTGGATGGAGCGTTTGAGGTAGTTGTAGATGGTGGCCTTCATGACATAGTCTTCTCCCCGTATTACGCTGTATGGCTGGGTGACTTCAACGAAGAACGGCTGGATGGCCGTGAGGAAGATGGTTTGGGCCAGGCCGAAACCCACCGCTGGGGACAAGCAGAAGGCTCCCGCTCGCCAATCTGTGATGGTGTCAGGAATGGTGACGGGCAGGGTGAGCTCGGACTCACTGCTGAGGGAGGCAAGAGAAGCAGAGGGGAGGGTGAATTTTCCCAAGCAATACGGGTAGTCCTCAACTAACGAACACCACTGTATGCCCAAAGTATATGTTGTTAAGCGAGAAATGTGTTAATAAGCGAGTATGGCCCCAATTTATGACTTTCCTTGACACGTTTGCCAACGGAATCTCTGAAGTTATTAAATGATCAACAGGGTCGTTAAGTGAATCTGGCTTCCCTTGTCGACTTTGCTTGTCAGAAGGTCACAAAAGGTGACCTCCTGAGGTCGTGAAGGTCGTGACCCCAGGACACAGCAACCGTCATGAATAGGAAGCAGTTGCCAAGCATCCAAATTCTGATCACGTGACCAGGGGGATACTGCAACGGTCGTAAGTGTGAAAAATGGTCATGAGTCGCTTTTTTTCAGTGATATTGTAACTTTGGACGGTCCTTAACCAAACTGTTGTAAGGTATTTTCGCGGCCTGACAAAGTGAGAAAATAACCAACTTATAACTGTTGATTTAGTGGCCATTCAAAGTTACAACAGGACTGAAAAAAAAAAAAAATGTGGCCATTTTTCACAACTGTTGTAGCATCCCTGAGGTCAGAATTGGGATGCTGACTCTATTTATGATGGTGGCTGTGTCCAGGGGTCATGTGATCGCCTTTGTGCACCACTGACAAGCAGAGTACCGTATTTTTCGGAGTATAAGACACACCTTTTTCCCTCAAAAAAAAAAATCTGGGTGCATCTTATACACTGAATACAGCATTTTTGGCCTCCCGAAACCCCGTGGCACGACAAAACCACACTCGACTAAAGCGCGCCCGATTAAACCGCGTCGCTGACGTCATCAACAGGGCGACAATAGGGAGTGTGGAGAAAGAAGGGTGCTTTAAATAGCGCTTTAAAAGCAAGCCGATTCAACTTAAGGTAAGGGTTAGGTTTAGGGTTAGGTTTAGGGTTAGGTTT